CAAAAGACATTTTCACTTTTAGGGTTCTTCTGGGCTGGTGGAACACATTATCTCAGGAGACAGGAAAATGAAAACCAAAATATCTTGCAAACCACCAGGGAATTTGCTAAACAGTGGCAATAAAAAAGGGGGAGGAAAAAGAAAAAGAGAGAAGGGAAGGGGGAAGAAAAAGTTTTTTTCTGAAACTCAGATATTATAGCTTGTCTAATGGCACCAATTACATGTGTTCCCTCAGAATAGACTGCTATTTTCTTCAGAAGGAAGTGGTCACTTTAAATCAAGTTTCCAGAAAGGGCAGGGTCTAACTGTTGCTAAGACAAACTGGTTACAGATAGTTAGTATATGAAGAACCTCAGGAAGGTTATTCTAAGAATGAGAGCTGATTGGCACTTCCTCCTCGGTTCTTCAACTGTAGCAAGGTCTCTCCTGGGCCAAAGAAAGCTTTGTGCCAGAGTCACTCAAAGCCCCAGAATAAACTCAGTGTGTCTTCCTGCAGGGGCATTTTCACTCAAAAAAGAAACTGCTGGGAAAATGTCTTAAATCAAACAAGGATGTAACATTAAGGAAAAAAGTAATAATTGGCTTATATTTTTAAATATATGAATAAATCTTTAATGAAATGTTATTTTTATTTAACAAAGATATATTAAACCAAAAGAAAACAAACCCACTGCCATCGAGTCAGCTCTGACTCATAGTGACCTCTCCTTGGGTTTCTAAAGCGATACCACCACGGAAGTAGATTGCCCAACCTTCCTTCTGAGGAGTTGCTGGTGGGTTTAACTGCCAGCCTGAGCAGTCAAATGTCTTAGGACTATGCCACCAGAGCTCTCAAAGATATATTAATAAAATAAAAATTTATTACTTTAAAAATCATTTTTAAAAATGCAATAACACTACTCTAAAATACTGAAGGAAAAGCTATCAGGAGTAGGGTCACTTCCCACTTCCAGGTACCAGAAGAGATGGTGGAGTTGTGTCCCAATCATCTGTTCTTAAGAATACTGTTACTAATGGTGGGAGGAGACAAACTTTCCTTGGCATTAGGAGGAAAGTAAATGCAAAGTCTTTAAACTTCCCAGATAATGTTGATTCCTTCTGGGCTGCCAAGAGGAAAAAAGACCTTTTGCTGCAATAAAATTTTAAAACGATTAATATGGTTATCAGGCTCTGGTCTGAGTTATCAGAGTTAGGACAAATTTTCAGGAATGGCTAAAAACTAATGAAAAATATTTTCAGATACACTGTCCTCTTTGGCATTGTTTGTTTAAAATCTCCGCCTTGTTGTTTTTGCCAAGTTAATAGTTTAACCTGGGCGTGAGAATCTACAATTGCAAATTTGGGTACTCCAAACCTGAGATGCCAGCTTGAATCTCTGGGACCACACTTGATGCTCAAACAATGTGATTGGCACGCTGTCTCTGGTATCCTGATTAGACAGTAGCTGAGGTGACAACAGCTGAGGTGAAAAATCAGTCGCCTCCAAGTGTACAAACAAGCTCTGGTGGTGCAGTGCTAAGGCATTTGACTGCTAACCAGAAAGTTGGCGGTTCAAAGCCACCAGCTGCTCCATGGAAGGAAGATGGGGAAATCTATTGCTGCAAAATTTATTGCCTCGGAAACCAAGTGGGGGTTGCTATGAGTTGGAATCGCTCGATGGCAGTGAGGTTTTTTTTTGTTTTGTTTTTGTTTTTGTTTTTTTGGTATCTGCTAATTGTATGTAAGGTGAGCTTGATAGTTTGGACTTTGGAATAATTATAAGCCCTTCTTCACATCTGAAAACAGATGGTGAGAAGCAAGGTTTCTCACATAAGGCAGGACTGTGTTTAAATCCAAGTTCTATTACTTATTAACTGTGTGACTATGAACAATTTACTTCACTTCTCTGTGCCTCGCTTTTGTCTCCGGCAAAATGAAGAAGAAAATAATAGTGACACCTAATTCCCAGATGATCAGGACAAAGAGAGATAATGCATGCAGAGTACTGAGTGCATTGAAAGTTCATAGTAAATAATAGCAACCCATTGTCTCTTTTTGCCCTGCTCCCATTATTCCTATTTTCACAGCTACTATTAAAATGAATTACCAGGACAAATGATTAAGACTCAGCTCTGGAGACAGGATCATTCTTTCTCTAACAATAGATGAATGGCTTATAAAGTTGGTAGGGTGTTCTGGGGAAAGGGACAAGAAGCCCAGAATTCACACCTGTGGTGACTTTAGGTTGTAAGCATGGTGAGTGCCAGGAGCAGCCAACCGGGTCTCAGAGCCCCAAGTGATCCTGACTCCCAGCAAACAGCTACATGCAACAGTTAGCTGTAATGTTTTATTCACACAACATTCACAGGTGATTTAGCAATTTAAGTCCTCCTTATACTGAGCTCCCAACATCTCCTGGACATCTACTGAGAGCAGGGTTCTCAGATGCTGCAGTGGAGTAGAACTGCGTCACCATCACATACATGTCCATCAGACTCCATGACTTCGCCTTCTGCACAGGAAGGAGGAACACAGGAAGCAGTAGCAACAATAGTACGTTGTCCTCAAGTCAGGCCTCCGGAAAATTGCGTTAAACGAAGAGGGTGGAGGAGATACAATTGGAGGCACCCAATCAAATGCTCCCCATCTCAGTGGAAGGAATCAAGGGATGTGAAAGCCTGTGGCCTGGATGAACAGGCACTCAAGTGCTTGCTGATTCTGAATCTGAAGATCAATCTGAATGTGACGGTCATCTTCCGAGGGCAACTAAATTGGAAATCTGCTCACTTCTTGTGTCCAGGGAATTAGAGGACTGGCAAATCACACAAGCTTTGAAGATCAAGAGGTAGGTCTCCTTGAACTTCTTTATTTTACAAGCATAGATGATAGGGTTCATCATGGAGTTAGCATGGGACAGCAGGATACCCAAGTACAGAACAATTTCTGGTACCTCACCATCAAAATAGATTATACAGTTAATGATGGATAATGGCAGCCAAGATAAAGCAAATAAGAAGAGAACCAGAAACAGGGATTTAGCTGTTTTGAACTCCCGTCCATAAAATGCACCTGTCTCTTTGGAGCCAGAAAAGTTCTGATTAAGTTTGTTCCGGATGACATAGAAGATGTCAACGTAGATGCCACACATGATAACCAAGGGAATCAAAATCCAGGTGAAAAAGCTGAAGTAGACCATGTAGTCCATCCTCATAACGGAACGGAATTGGCATGCAATGTTGGAGACATTTTTGTTGTGCCCTGAGATCAGTTTCACGTTCCAGCCAAACATGGGTGTCAATCCCACCAGGAATGACACCAGCCAGCAAAGACCCAGGGCCAACCATATTCTTCTATGAGTGGTGACCCTCCTGTATCTGTTTGAAGGGAAAAGAGCCAATGAGTTCATGGTGGGAATTGCTAAAGGGTTAGGGGAGATGGAGCTAGCATAAAGCAAGATGAAGAGATAAAGCATGCATTCTCTTGATTACCAAATCTTCTGTTAAAAGAAAATCACATTGATATCCTATGGTAACTACAGCTAACCCCCAATGGATATGAGGACAAGAAGAACAGGCACTGATTAGGAAAAAAAAAAAAAAATCCAGTCAATTTCTCTGGGGACTTTTCTAAAGAAGTTCTATCTAGAATGGATTAGGAATATGTTACCTTGAGGCAGGTGCTTGCACACCCTACTCATGGCTCCATTTCCAGCCCAAGATTCTTCAGATCCTAGGAGGTAAACGTTTTCTTAGATTTATCTAAGTCTCCTAGGTTGTCTCCCTGGTGAAAAATGGTCTTCCCAAAGCATGGTTTCCTGCTGTGCTGTGCATTGTTCTGTCTGGCTGTTGTGCTGATGCTGTTAAAGTATAAGATGCTTTTCCATACTCTCCTCTACCTGTGCCTGCTTCTGCTGCAAGTGGCATATACACTTGGTGTTTGAGTTAGATAAATCAGTGGAGATGCTAAGGTTGTTTTGAAGTGTGTCAAGGACCTTGAAAGGCTCACTCAATGAGAGTCGCCATTTCTCCTTAAATCCTTCTTCCTGACAATATACTACACAGACTTCAGGAAAGAAACTAATATTCCTGAGTTCCTACTATGCACTTTGTAGATTTTATCTCAGTGAAATCTCACAACAAACTGGAGATATTTTTATGATAATTTACATTTTCGATGGTGATGACGAAAATAACAGTAGTTATAGCTATCATTTATTGAGCATAGATTATGTGTGAAGCATTTTTCTAAGAGCTTTCCATGTGTTAACTCATTTAACTCTATGAAGAAGATGCAATGATCATTTCCTTTTTAGAGTTGAAAAAAACAAAACATGGACAAGTCAAGTAACTTGTATAAACTAGAAGCGTTGGAGGTAAAATTGAAGCCAGGTAAGTCAGAGTTCACATCTTAATGAGAAAACTGAGACAGAGAAAATGAAATAACTTGCCTACCAGATCTCAAAATTCCGGAATTTCTACTCAGACTTGTTTACATCTAAAGCTTGTTTGTAGCTCCTTCGTCATTCTCTTTCTCTTTTAAGGATTCCTAGATATTCTTAGGATATTCATTCTAAGGATCCCCTCCTCAAGATGGGGGTGGGCACGGAGTAGGAAACACAGTCAAAATAACCACCTACATTTATGAAATAACAGAACCATCTATCACTTACTTGTTTGCTTCTTCTTTTCTGTCATTTTTTTAAAACTCAAAAGCATTTTACTAATCAAAGATGCATCAAGCTTTCATCATCTTTAGATATACTAGGGAATCAAGCAGACCTCCCATTAACGAATGGAGATGGATTAGAGCATTCCTCTGTTGCTGGTTTCAAAGCTTTGCCTCACATTCACGAACTCCTCACAGACCAGTTTCCGGGAGGGGCAGAAATATCGCCCCCTTTTGAGCTCAGGGGCCAATTTTGGTTCTTTTTCACTCAAAAAGTATGAGATCTGAATTTTTTAGCCCCATTTCCCAGGAACCTTTCTCACTGTCCACACTCCACCCCTCTTCAAACAGGTTACCTGACAGTGAGCTTGACCCGTAGATATCGATCCACAGCAATGGCCAGCAAGGACATGATGGAGGCGTGGGTGAAGATCATCACCAGGCAGGTCATGAAAAGGCAGCTATAGAAGTGGATTCTGATGCCCAGGCTGATGACAATGGCCAAAGGCATAACCAGCACCCCAACAGCAATGTCAGCCAGGGCTAAGGAAACAATGAAATAGAAAGTGGTGGTCTGCAGGCTGGGGTTCAGCTTAACCACCCAGATGACCAGCACATTGCCTACTATGGCGCAGAGCCCAATGAGAATCTCCACGATGATGTAGGTAATGTTGGACAACGTCAGGTCCATAGTGTTGACAAGCATCTTGCTTTCCCAGAGAAGCCTTCCAGGTGACAGTTATGCCAGCAGGACCTGTGTAGTTCAATGAGCCTATCTCATGCCAGACATCTTCCCACAGGTCAAGTGCAGCAATTATCTAAAACTCACAGCTCATGCATTTCTTGTCTTCTCTGGTAGGGTGCTCTTTTGGAGATCCTCCTCTTCTTAGATAATGCCCACCACAGGGTAATCACTTCCAGTGCCACTGGGTGCCACACATCCCCAGGCTTACGGAAGCCTGCAGGACAGTTTTGTGTAGGTTGAATCTGAAAGTGCTGCTGTTCTTAGTTCCCCAGACAGACACGCTCAAAACGTCTGCCTTCCCCTGCCTCTGAGGGCTTCTCAAGCTTCATCAAGATAAGCAATCCTCTTCAGGGGTGTTTTAGGAAGTGAGATGGGCCAAGAGGAAGTTCAAAGCCAGGAAAGCTCAACAAGATGGAAAGAGCAGGGCAGGGGGTGGTGTGAGTGGTGTGGTGGAGAAGGCTTATCACGAGATCATTCATTCAGGGACAAGATGAAAGTACAGCAGTGGGTGGGAGAGGAGCTGGAAGTACTGACCACAGAATATTCTGGCCTTTTGCTAATTTAGCAGAAGTATCCCATGAGAGCAATGCAAATGTGAGAAGAGGAGGAACAAGAAAGGAATTTAGGTTTCAGCCCCCTAAACTTAGCCAGAAGTTATTCCTTCTTAACATACTAACAAGTACTGAGACTTTGGTGGCATGAGTAGACTCTGCTGAGGACAGCTGATACCTGGCTAATGCACCAAAGATTCTCTGCTAAAAAGACAAATGAGGAGTCCCTGCTCAGAAGAGAAAAACCTCATCACTTTCCACATGCATCACATCTGCTGACCTCTCTCCCCTTCTCAGCTCACGCTCCCAACAAAGTCGTACATGCCCTCTCACTTGTTAGTTGTTATTGAGTCAGCCCCAACTCATGGCAGTATTTTTTTCTTTTATGACAAAATCAAACATTGTCCAATCCTGCACCATTTTCATAATCATTGCTATATTTGGGTCTGTTGTTTCAGCCACTCTGCCAATCTATCTCATGGAGGGTTTCCCTTGTTTTCATTGACGTTCTACCAACCGTGGTGTCTTTTTCTAGTGACTGGTCTTTCTTGATGACATGTCCAAAGTAAGTGAGCTGAGGTCTTGCCAACCTTGTTTCTAAGAAGCACTAATTTGACTAATTTGTACATTCTTCTGGCCCTCACTCTAGCAAACAGTATATGTCAAATCTATCTGAGAAGCAACAATACAACAGGATGACCAGTCATGCAGAAAGGAGGGAAAAGACAATGAGTGCACAGAATCACATAGCATACTTCCTTCACCTACAGGAACTAAGGCCTCTGTCTGGGAATCAGACCCGTGTCCATGAAGAATAGCGTTCCCCAGTCAGCACTTTTGGGGCACCAGATACTATAATGCAATTGTTACTTGGGGACCATCCAGTTCAAGTGTTTTTTTTTTGGGGGGGGGGCATTTCCCAAATGTTTAATTATTTTTATTGTGGTGAAAACATACACACCAAGACATTCACCAGCATAACAACTTCCACATTAACAGCCCAGGGACATTGACACTTTTCATGCTGTGCCACCATAATTGCTATCCTTTTCCAAAACAACCCAAAGGTTTATTTTAACCAGGTGTGTTAGAGAGACAGCAAGAAGGAATAGTTGGGATCTCAGCGCTTATTGCAGATTAAAGGGTTTATAATATTTTCCTTACACACCAACATATGTACAGTCAAAAATAAGATTCAAGGATAACAACAGTGTTGTTCTGGTGTTTGCTAACAACCCCTTCTCTGTAGGGTACTAGAAAGATGCCTTGGCATGGGTCCTGTCTGGGTCCTCTTCTTTAGTTGTTCTGTTCCTACATCATCCATTGATCCCTACGTTATATATCATGCTGATCCAAATCTGACCAAACCCCATTCTCCTCCCTATTGGATTTGTCACTTCTCCCTTAGTTATTGTGCCAACTCTAAGGGCCAGTTCTCTCCCACCGCATGACCACTGCTCTTGTGTTTTTCAGGCATTGTAGCTGCAGCCCACATCCATGCACTACTGCAACTTAAGAAGGTTTACAGCCTCCAATACAGCTCTCACATATTTTTCTACTGCAACTTCTTTCTTTATCTATGCTTTGGAGGAGGGAGTTACAGAGCCTGATTTCTAGGAGGCTGCATGCTACTGAATAAAGGCTTTCCACTATAAAGCAGTCTTTATAATCTTAGTGACTCATTAGAAAAAACTTACCTTCTCCCCTCACCCCTCCAGACACCCGGTAGCACCAAGTAAACTTATGTGCTAGAAAGAGGGTTCTCTTGTGTAGGGACAAGTCATATTGAGTGTATTTTGTGTGATTATGATGCTTAGGTGCAGTTTCCTGGAGGGTCTGGCAATTCTGGTTGCATCGTCATAGTCTAACCTGTGGTGGCCTAAGGTGGAGAGAGTGGCCTGGTGGCAGACTCGTAGCACAGATGTTTGCTGTCTGTTTGAGAAAGCTGGTCAGGCCATCAAGCAGCGCCACGCCTACTCCTCATCTATTGGTTATCTCGTTATCTGACTGTCTTAGTTATCTGGTGCTATTGTAACAGAAATACCACAAGTGGATAGCTTTAACAAACAGAAATTTATTTTCTCACAGTTAGGAGTCTATCAGTCCAAATTCAGGTGCTGGTTCTAGAGTAAAGCTTTCTCTCTGTGTCAGCTCTGGAAGAAGGTCTCTTTTAGCTTCTGCAAGTGGGCGATCTGCATGTGGTTTGGCATCAGTATTCCCCTGGATGTAGGAGGTTCTCAGCACAGGAACCCTAGGTCTAATGGATGCACTCAACTCCCAGCTCTTCTTTTTTAGTGATAATAGGTCTCTCCTTCTCTGTTTGCTTTTTTCTCCTTTTACCTCTTGTAAGATAGAAGGTAATGTAGGCCATATGCCAGGGAAAATCCCCTTACATTGGATCAGGGTTGTAACCTGAGTAAGGATGTCGAACCCACCCTAATCCTCTTATAATTGACTGGTTGATCACATCAGATCATACCATGGGGGATGATTACATTATTACATGACTGCCAAATTACATCATTATGTTGCAGTTGAATCACTGAGAATCATGGCCCAGCCAAGTTGACACATAATTTTGGGGGACACTATTCAATTCATGTTGTTTGTTGTTGTTATGTGCCGTCGAGTCACCCCCGACTCATAGCAACCCCTCCTTGGGTTTCCAAGGCAGTATCACTACGGAAGTAGATTGCCCAACCTTCCTTCCAAGGAGTGGCTGGTGGGTTTGAACCGCCAGCCTTCTGGTTAGCAGTCAAGTGCCTTAGGCACTATGCTACCAGAGCTCCTATTCAATTCATAATGCCTACTTTTCATATTTATGACAATAGTAAAAAATCTACTATCTGAATATTTTGCACAGGAATGATGTATATCTGATAATAACAAACACCAAGTTCCAAGATGAGAGTAATGCTGTCTGTGATAATTAAGGTTAGGTGTCAACTTGGCTGGGCCATGATTCTCAGTTCTTTGGCAGTTATGTAATGATGTGATCATCCTCTATTTTCACATCATGCAGATTTTTGCATGTTGATTAACTTGATCTTTGGAACCTAACCATGTTGTGTAAGTGAGGAGTGGATGTACTTATCGAGAAAAAGATATCAACCCATGGGAGGCTATGAGCCACAAGGTGAAGGTAGGAAAAGGGGGCAGAGGCCATAAAAAGTGCCTGAGAAGTGTGTCTAGCCCACAGGAAGAGATTGACTTTGTTAGAGATGGATTTGACAACTATATTTGGAAACCTGACTAGTTTGTGTTTTCAAATTCTTGTCCCTATGGTTCTCCTCTACTACATAAGGAGGCTCTTTTGGAAGCAGCCTGTCTTAGCTGAGTTAGGAAAACTAGGATAGGGGGTTTGTGTACAAGGGCAAGTCAGAAAGCAGTGGGGTGGAGATGTTGTTGTTAGGTGCTGTCAAGTCATCTCTGACTCATAGAGACCCTATGTACAGCAGAACAAAACACTGCCTGATCTTGTGCCAGCCTCACGATCCTTGCTATACCTGAGCCCATCATTGCAGCCACTGTGTCATTCCATCTCACTGAGGGTCTTCCCCTTCTTTGTTGACCCTCCACTTTACCAAGCATGATATCCTTCTCCAGGGAATGGTTCCTTCTGACAACATGACCAAAGTAGGTTAGACAAAGTCTGGCCATTCTAGCTTCCAAGGAGCATTCCAGCTGCACTTATTCCAGGACAGATTTGTTAGTCCTTTTAGCAGTCCATGGTACTCTTAGAATTTTTCTCCAACATCACAACTCAAAAGCATCAACTCTTCTTCAGTGGCGATAAGGATAGAATAATCTGTGAGGGAGTGGCCCACTAGAAAGGGAACACACTTAAAGCCACCAACTTAGCATCTCTCCCCACTCAGGAATTCTATTTCCAGAATCCTCTTCTGCTGGGGTTCCTTTTCTGTGAACAGGGGAAACCCTTCCCTACATTTCTGAGTAGGCAATGTCCCTTGCTGCTCAGAAGGGACAGTTTGAGAGATGAGAGGGAAAGGTTCACAACCACTGATATTTTGGTCTACGATTGGCTCTGAGTGTCATTTTCACTCTAAATGGAAATCAAAAGGTAATCTTGGAAAGAGGACAGAGAGGCCAAGATGAAGGTCACCTCACTGACCCATGCGCTTATCTGTGCAGGCCTCAGCCACTCTCAGTCACACCACCTCATTATTTCTTGAGGAGATAATCATCTTGGCCTCTTGGCACCAGTCTCCTGCCCACCTCACAGGCCATAATGATAGTGCTCAAACTCAAACCTGAGCTCCCCTGCTTAAAAACCTCTAAAATCCCCATGCTGGCCTCAGGTTCAAGGCCAGACTCCTTAGAATGGTTTACCAGACCCTCCATGACAGAGTCTCCCAAACCCTGCAGTCTCTTGGTTTCCTCACAGAACCT